CATTTCTGAGAATCCAGTGAGAATCACTACTGAGAACGAGAACTACAAAGAAAAAGATAAATGTTTTATGCTGTTTTGAAAATAATGTTACAATGCCAAAAAAAACAAACTGTCATCATTAGTCTCAAAAAATAAGCATTTGATAAGCTATTGATTTTGGGGTGAAATATGGCCTGGGAATGTTTTCATGAGATTCGCTGTGATATAATAATATAGATTCTCTTCTTGACCTCCTTTCCGTTCATTTTTAATTGGACAAGAAGAGACATTTAGACAGATGGTGGGTATTAATTATAAATTGTTTAAATGTATTGTTTCTTGCACTGATTGTATTGCTTTATGCAACTCACTGAAATATGAGAATACATAACTTATTAGTACACATAATTTATTTCAGTTTTGCCTCAACTTAAGTCAACTTAAGAGTTTCAACTCGGCTTCCTTATGTTTTCTGGCCATTATTATTGGCATTAGTGGTCTTTTGAATTGAGAATTAAAAATTAGGACAGAACCGGTGTGGGTTAAATTTATATAGCTGCCCTATTAATAGTATAGTTGAGTCACTCAGAATCCGGTGTGAAGTGATCTTTACTCTGGTTATTGTTATGCTAGGATTTGTTAAGGCATGCTGTGATGAACAGTAGTTATGCTACAGATGAGCTTGTGGTTTAATGGACACCAGCGCATTAGTAAACAAGAATTCACTCAGTGTAACAAATGAATCTATTTAAAAATGTATAATCATATATTTATTTTCTTCATATTTAACTTTGAAAAAATGCTGTTACAGTATGAAAGAAAAACTGATTTCATGATTTAGTGAGTTAATTATTTTAAACATACTTTTTGACCTTTTGTCCTATGAAAAATATCGCTTATGCATGCAAAGTTACAGTTTTGCTGTGGTATGTGGTATCCCATTACGAACATATTGTAACCTCATTTAGTTATCTAAATGATCTGGGTATGAAGCCAGAAGTATGCTATTTAAATGGTTATAAATAAAATGATCTACTGAAAGCACTGGTGTTTAATTTGTTTCCACCAAATATTAAAATGAGTTTTGGTAAAAAAAAAAAAAAAAGGCTTGGTAAAAACTTGGTAAGTTTAATGTGTGGACTCTTTCTGGTAAATGTACTGCATCTGCTGTTCACACAAGCAGCAGCTTCCCGTCCGCTGTCAAACTATTAAGATACTATTAATACATCAGCACCAAAATACCAAATACCAAAAATATATTAAAAATAAAAGTCAATTTTCTTTACTGATTTAAAGAGACGTGTCTCCTTTAAGACTTAAATGTAAACAGACACTCCTATGATTGGGTAGCATTTTTGCGTATGAAATCAGTGTTACAAGTAGGAGTTTTTTTTACTACTACAGCTGCCAAGATTAAATAACCATGAACAGATGTACATTTAGATCTACTCCCATTGCATAAAACTTTGCAGCTCTGAGCATTGTAGCCGATCACAGTCATGTCTTTTGAGCACGTAAAAGCAATTATTTTGTCATTGCATCTTAACTTCTGCACTCTCACGAATGCTTTCATCATAATACAGTGCAAGCACAATGTAAACCAGAGATTCACTGTCCGTAAACTCGCGCTGTAAAGTGGAAATTTTATTAGCTTTCTTTCATTTTGCAGTTTAGAAAAGATGGTTTTCATCCGAATAACAGGTGATATGAATTTGTCCCACAGCCCAGCATTACCACATAGTAAGCATTGCAGAACAGGTTTATTACTGCAAATTGTGATTTGTTGTTTCTATTATAGCACGTTGATTATATGTGACCCTGGACCACAAAACCAGTCACAAGTGTCAATTTTTTGAGTTTGTCAAAATTTGTTAATTTTGTTAGGATAGGACAATATTTGGCTGAGATACAACTATTTGAAAATCTGGAATCTGAGGGTGCAAAAAAATCTAAATATTGAGAAAATCATCTTTAAAGTTGTCCAAATGAAGTTCTTAGCAATGCATATTACTAATCAAAAATTAAGTTTTGATATATTTACGGTAGGAAATTTACAAAATATCTTCATGGAACATGATCTTTACTTAATATCCTAATGATTTTTGGCATAAAAGAAAAATGTATAATTTTGACCCATACAATGTATTGTTGGCTATTGCTACAAATATACCCCAGCGACTTAACACTGCTTTTGTGCTCCAGGCTCACATATGCAATTTGTAAAACATGTAACTTGGACACTGTGTTCCTTTATTATGTTTTTTGAGCTACTTCTTTCCTTGTTTTTTTCTGTTTTATCTTTACAGACAAACACAATGTAAGGTATAGACTATGGAGTTATTTGCTTTGAAAAGATATTTATAAAAATCAAGACTGTGTGATCAATTAGCTTGAGAACAGAGTGCAATATTTTGTTTGACAAATAATAGGATTTTTATTTCCAGAACCCAAATTAATAGACGTATGAGAACTGTTTTCATGAAGGCAGAACATTTTAACATTAAACCTTCCTAAATTGTGCTTCTGTTGATGTGAAATCAAACTTTATCCATTTAAATTGGCCTTGTTTTTTAATGCATACACCTAATTCAGAATCCTCCTTGTCAACTCCAGATGTCCAATTAGTTGAAAATACACTTTCTTTTTTTTTTTTTTTACTTCAAAAGTAGTCAAAAAAGAAAAGTTTTTGACATACTATATAAAATAATCGGTCTGATTCTTTCTCTTTTGAAATGTTGGAATTTCACAGGCAGCATTCTGTTTCAGGCGAACTATTTCTTTAATCAGGTTTCTAATGAAATAGTGTGAGGAGATTAACAGTGTCTTACCTTTGGACAGTTATCCCAGCGTTCATGAGGGCGAGTCATTCTTATTTTTATTTAATATATGTGACCCTGGACCACAAAACCAGTCATAAGTGTCAATTTTTCGAAATTGAGATTTATGCATCATCTGAAAGCTGAATAAATAATCTTTCCATTGATGTATGGTTTGTTAGGATAGGACCATCTTTGTCTGAGATACAACTATTTGAAAATCTGGAATCTGAGGGTGCAAAAAAAATCAAAAAATTGAGAAAATCATCTTTAAAGTTGTTCAAATGAAGTTCTTAGCAATGCATATTACTAATCAAAAATTAAGTTTTGATATATTTACGGTAGGAAATTTACAAAATATCTTTATGGAACATGACCTTAACTTAATATCCTAATGATTTTTGGCATAAAAGAAAAATTGATAATTTTGAGCCATACAATGTATTGTTGGCTATTGCTACAAATATACCCCAGCGACTTAAGGCTGCTTTTGTGCTCCAGGGTCACATATGCGCTAAAAGCTGAATTTCTTTGTTGTACTGGTTTTTCTGCCAGGATGATGGGTGCTCTTGTAGACACCAGCTACACCTTCAGTAACAGAACATACAATCATACTGACCTGTCACTTTCAAAACAGTCCTGGAGCAATAGAGGTTAGCTTTCAGTGTCGTAGTAGTAAATTGTAAATTGGCGACACAAACGATCTCGATTTACACTGAGTGCAACAATTAAATGTTTTATATCAGTCGAACTGAACACTCCCCAGTTGGTGACTGTGCCTGGGCACAGTACATTGTTTTGTAGGGTGTAACACTCAGCTGCATGTAAATGGGGAAAGGCCTTATCATAGGATACTACGTCATGAAAACACCACTTTTCTGGCACCTGCCTCGTCCTCCAACACACACATAACATCAGGTTGGAAAACAAGATGCTGGGACATATACTATACTGTACCTGCAAAGGCAAAGTGAGAATTCTGGATCTGGACCTGAGGCCTCATAATGTAAGTGGCTACGATATTTAATTTTTATCCCTCGGTTTCAAAAATCAAACAAGCTTCCTCGTTTTGCCTTAAATAGCCCATTAGCCTTTGGAACAGGACTTAAAATTGGGACATATCAAACTTCATTTTTGTCTTTGTGTTCCGAAAAGCTTCGTTTTTAGGTCATTTTTGAGTCTTATAAATCCATCAGCTAGGTTCTTGATGACGCTGCATTAAAGCAAGATTCAGATTTAAATGTGGTTTTGGTCACACTTTATTTTAAGGTCCAGTTCTCACTATTAACTAATAGTGTTCGAGCCTCCATTAAGGCCAGCAAGCCAAGATCGTTTACCTTTAACCATCAGGACTGGATGGGCAGGCGAACTTGTGAAAAGTACTAATAAACAGCCAAAATGCTAGTATTTTTGTTAATAGTGAGAATTGGTCGTTAAAGTGCTACCATAATTTTGTTTGCAGACATTGTACATTTTCACTTTGTTGTGAGGAAAGTGGAGCATTAATCAAAGTGATATTTTTTGCTTGATTTTATTACTTTAGTGCTCAGAAACCCATCAACCCAAAGCCTACATTGTGGTTTGTATTTCATACAATACATAACATATGATTTGATGATTTATGTTTATTCTGTTGACCTTATGAGTAATGAACTGTTTATGGAATGATGCCTCTTTGAAAAATAATGTGTTGAGTGGAAAATTCAATATACCTGTCTATATGTCATAGAGGCTCATTGATATGTAACCAATCAGCAAGAAGCTTAAATGGCACATGACGAAAACATTGTCAGAATGATTCAAATCACACTTGTTTTGTCAAACTGTTTGATATTTGAGTGCTAAATAAAGACCATACCAAAAAGCAAAATAATTTTAAAAAGACTTGTCGTCTAATTAAAACAATTATTTCCTCATCAGAAAGTTTTAACAATGTTCAAAACAGTCGATAAAAAGAGATGCACAGGGCTCTCACAACACATACCGTGCACTGTATGACAATTTTGTGAATATGTAGTTTCGATGTTTGTTTGTTTTTTTCCTGTCCAAATTTAACTTTGAAATCAGATTAGCCTATCTGATGTGGTTAACGAAATGGGATACTCATTTTAATACTCGTTTAAACGGTACGCTTCTGTCTCTCTATGATGAAAACACTACATCTACTGTAATTGGTCGTACATTCCTTCCATGTCATGTAAAGTTCAGTTCAAGATCTAGCCATGAAGAAGGTGTTAGTCAGGATAGAGCAAGAACCCAGAGAAGGTGCTGTCATCCTCGCTGCTGGAGTAGACACCGTTCCAGTCTCTCAGCGTCTCTACCCACACCTCGTCTCCCACATCCAGCTTCAGGATCACTAGATTGTGCATGCCGTGTTGCCCAGATGGACCAGGGTCTCCATGCACACCTGGTGGTCCAGGATCACCTGGCTCACCTTTGTGGCCACTGTCACCAAGTAAACCGCACTCTCCTCTATCACCCTTTTCACCCTTTTCACCAGTCATGCCTTGGGGTCCCGGTGGTCCATCTTTGCCTGGCTCTCCCTGATCACCTTTTGACACATTCAAATTTGGATCTCCTTTTTCTCCTTTCGAACCTTTGAATCCTGGCAGTCCAGCTGCACCCTTCTCACCTTTAATACCCATCTCACCTGTTTAGTACAAATATATTGCATTTATTCGTCTTTATTGGGTATACAAATTTGCAGGGACCTAATGGTTAACTGTGTGCACCTTTCATTCCAGCCTTTCCCTGGATGCCTGGAGACCCAGTCAGTCCTATGTTTCCTTGATTACCTTTCTCTCCTGTTGAAAACAATAGGAAATCTCAAACATGCATGTTATCAAAAAGGTCACATTCAAAAATAACCAGGATATAGTGTCCATATATAATCTCCTGCTCAAGTATGTACCTTTATCGCCTTTAGATCCTGAAAAGCCCTTTGGCCCTATTGGGCCCGGCATACCTTTGGGTCCAGGTGCTCCTTTTTCTCCAGGTGGGCCTACAATATGGCATTAAACAACATGACAGAAGCCAGGTTTCCGCCCACATACCGACAGTAAATAACACTCTAAGGGCCAGATTTACTAACAACCTGTACCAAAGCAAACCCTCTTTATAATTAAAAGTCTACTGTCTGGATTTACTGAAGACATGCAGTGAAACATTAGCGATGGAAAGGCATGGGCACAGTTACTTTTGCGGCTGACCTTATAGAATACCCATAGAGCAACATAATATATAAACACACCATCAATAGCAGCCTGCAAAGCCCAATAAACACTAATCACCATCGGGGTGACTCAAATGAAACAAACGTTGGATTTAAATCCCTGTTAATTCTCAATAAAAAAAACTTCTGTAGATGTCTGACAGAAAGTCAATCTGGTTAGTAATAAGTGAAGATGGTAATGCTGTTTGTGGAGTGGTTTAATGCTCCTCTGCTGAGGTCTTGAGAGATTTAATGTCTTTTATCTTCATTACAAGCACCCGATTATCATTTTCTCTGCTTGTTTGCGACCCTACACTAATTTGCAATGTTCTTGGTAGATTGCTTTGGTCAATATGCATATGAGCTCACTGAAACATCACTGAATCAATGATGAACAGACTTTAACTGAAAATTGAGTGTTTACTGTTGTCCTTTTGCATTATTGCACACTATTTTCCTGTTCAATACTCTAAAGCTGCTTTGACACAATCTGTATTGTTAAAAGCGCTATATAAATAAAGGTGACTTGACATGACCTGATGGCATCTATCAGTAGATCACCCGCAGAACCTTGCACTCCCATCGGTCTGACACTAATTTGCTCTGTTTAGTAAATCTGGCCCTGTTTTATTTTTACAGAATGTATGACTTCACTCGGCTGACCTGGCAGTCCTAGATCTCCTTTGAAGCCTTGTGGGCCTTTCTCTGGAGGGCAGCACTCACAGAAGTTGAAGTAGCATTCATTGTAGTCTAGTGTGTAATTGTCTTTGGCCGTGGTGGGAGATGCGGTGGTGTCTGTAGGGTAGTCTACATAGCTGTCAGCAGGAACTGTAGTGCTCTCTGTGACGTGCGCAGGGAAGCGCTCTCTGGTTTTGGTGTAGTCCACATTCCGTGCTGTGACTGTAGGCTTGCCTACATATACAGTGGTTTGGACCAGCTCTCGAGGGGGTTTCTTGGTGTACTGGTACTTTGGTCTCTGAGTGGGCTTGATGGTGTCACACAGGGTTATAAAGCTCAGTACTATTACAGTTATGAAGAGAGCGCGTTCAAAGATCATCCCCATTTTCTGTCTGTAGAGAAAGAGTGAATAAGAATTTAGAGGCCTGACTGGACCAAACATCGCCTTGTAATTCGTTCAACCTTAATGTATAAAAGGTGGCGAAAGAAGGATGTGTTTAATTGCAATTGATCAATGTCAGTCACATTTAACTCTTTCCCCGCCAAACATGGAATTTTCCGGGTTTCCATGTTTTCACTGTTATACACTCGGGGGGGCTCTATTACGCATCTCCTGAATGAGTCTAGAATGTCCCGATCAAAAACACAGACGAGGAAGACACAGAAACGAGTGATCTCGTATGTAAGCAGATGCATATGAAAAGTAATGCGGTCATCAACACTAACCCGATATAAATGAGAACTGCGTAATGCTACCGAGTGAAATGTGGATCCAGGAAGAGGTAAAGGACTGTGCAAGCTTTGGGAGTGCTGATGGAAGTCATCTACTGCATCTTTGCTTTGATCATCATACTGAATATGATTCAGATGTAGTATTTGATAAAAATTTGATTTTCTCAGCTTTTTGCTTAAAATGTTGCATTTTTATGAACCCTACCTAAGTGTTGATTTAAAAAAGAATGCTTGAAGCTAGAATAAAACAGATTTTTGTTGTTGTTGTTGTTGTTTAAAAGTAGAGGATTTCCTCTATTTTGGTGTATTGCATGTTCAGATATTCATACAACAAAATATTCCAGGGGCCATGACATTTTAGAGAAAATCAACAAAAATGCTGGCGTTGGCTGGCAACTTTTTTCAAAAACGGGGAATGAGTTAAATTGCATGCTAAATAAACATTAATGAAACAACAGTATTGACAAGAAAAAGAGAAAGACACTCAAATCATTGATAAACTCATGTATAGATCCACATTAGATATGGCGATATATCAACTAACATTAAATGCCATTGGTGCTTGTGTCATGTGAACTCAAGTGACGTGCAAGAACCAACGAAGTTTGATGTTACTGGTTTGTCACCATATTTGATTTTGTCTCTGTATACATGAATTGATCAATGTTTTAATTTGTTAATTTATCAGTCTATTCATCATATAAAGTGATTGTATCACTTGAGAAAACATTGATTACACCGCTACAGCCCAGTGGGCACCTTGATATCAATTTGATGTCAAATATTAGTCAAGACTTGATCAAGATGCTGTAACATCATTTTAAATTCAGTTTGGACAGTAATTTCTTCCAGTGGTAATTGGGTGACAATAGGAAGTTAATCTGACTCTGAAATTGGTTTAATGTATATGTAGGCCATGTTTGACTTTCAATTTACATCAAATCAATGTCATGACAAGTTTTTGATGTCAGTTTTATTTGCATATTTGACCAGTTTTTGAGGTCAATTTTTATGTCAGTTTGATGTCTTTTCAACATCAATTGCCGACTTGAACACAAATTACAAAAACTAACCTTAAAAATGAAAATAAAACAAAAATGTTTCAAACGACAAAAACTCTTTTTTTTCCCCAGAAGACCCCATTTTAAAGTTCAGTTTTAAAGTTCCCATTTTCAATTCTCATAAATGTGCAATAAACAACATGCAAGTTTGTTTTCATCAAACCCCATCATATATGCCTTTAGGTCACTTATAATATACAGTATGAGTTTCATGGGATCATTTTTAGATCTTGAAAAGGGCCACGATTCATAGTACAGTACGGCTTTCAGATGTCTGTTAAAGAGCACTTTATCATTTAATCATCAGTTGTGTACAAACATATTTTAAAAAGCAGTTTTACTTGCATTCTAAATCAAAAAATCTTTATCAAGACCACAAAAGGGGGAAGATAATTTTCCTCTCTGACATAGGCTTCTTATCATAGTCCAAGTCACTCTAGATAGCACAGTAAGGGATGGACAGGTGCCAAGCTCACAGCTTTCATCGATATAACGCCACCTTATAGACTGATTACTTGGATCAAAACTCCTCACGCTTTCATTCTCGGAATAGTTAGTGACGGGTGATGCTGGATTCTAGAGCGTTCGCTGAGACCAGCTGAATATAACAGCCTCAGTCAGGAAATCAGAGTCTCATTCCAATCTGTTTGGTGTCACTCCAAAAAAGCTTTTGTCCGAAAGAGCAGCGATAATCTCAGGAGCTCACTTCAGCCTCAGCTGTTTTCTGGAGGGAAATGGCTTTATAAATGTCTTTATCATTACTTTTGATCAATTTAAAGCATCCTGGATAAATACAAGTATTAATTTACATAGTCTTTCCTAAAAAATAAAAAAAAATAGACTGACTCCAAGTTTTTGAATGCTAGAGTGTATAATGTTACAAAAGCTTTTTATTTCAGATAAATGCTGATGTTTGGATCTTTCTATTCATCAAAGAATCCTGAAAAAGAATGTACTCAACTGTTTTAAATATTGATA